GCTATTATGCCATGAAGGTAATGCGGTTTTTTGAAAAAAATATAATCTAAATGTGTAATAGTGTTTCTCACTGGAGGAAGTGGAGCTATCCATGAATGCAAAGCCCAGATGAGGCAAAAGCATGTTAAAGTGTCTTTATGGATAAATGAAGAAAGGTTCTTTCTTGTTGGAGGCTTCATTTAAGTAGAGAAGACCAGGAAGGCTCCTAAAAATACATTATGTACACTGGACTATATTTCAAGGGTTTCTTTGGTGTAAATGTAACGTGTTTTATTAGGTTGGGTTGGTTAAATAGAGAATAGTGTGTGATGGCCTGTATGGCCCAGTCATGTTTTATGTGTGCGTGTTTATGATGTGCATTAAATAAACTACGCACACTGGTGCATGGTGTCTGGAAATTGCAGAAGGAAACTCTTGAGGGAGGAGTGGGTTAAGTAAGGTGAAAGTAATAGATCCCCAGAGAGAGTGGGAGGTTTCTTGTTCCCATCCTCCTTCTACTGGAAATATTAAACTTGTGTCCATATATCTTGTTGGTGTGTGTCTTCAGACACTGTCTTTTCATAAAACATTGGATTAGAACAAAATTTGCATGATCCATGTGTACAGGACACTCTCTGGCAGAAAGATGATTGCTTATGGTGTACTTCAGGGTTTCATGATAGGACCTGTTTTGCATTGTGTAAATGTGCTGAGACTGCAATCACTATCTATGAAGTCACCAAGTCCAGATCTTGTTAATTTTGAATGGTTTTGGGGGTTCTATTAGCACATATATACAAGGTTTTATGGTAACCACAGGTGCTTTGGGGAAAAGCTGGCACTCGTCTGTCTTAGTTAAAATATAGATACTTCAAAATCTTACTGATTACTGCACTTAACATCTTTAACTTAGAATAGAATGTTCATTTTGCAGTTTGTTCATGAAAACAAACCCCTTTTATGTAAATAAAATGTTTATAATAATGTTTAGCTTACCTCACAGCTTACCTCACAGCTAAGCCGTAGTTGACAGTTAGGGCAAGATCCACAAGAGGCTTGGAGCAGAGGTTCACCTTCCAACATGACAATGGCCATAAGCATTTTGGCAACAGTATACTGGAATGTTTCGAAATCAAGAACCTGAATGTGAATAGAACGGCCCAGTCAAAGCCCAGACCTCAATCTGAGTTTGGATCTGCAGCAATACCTGAAACCTGCTGCTCATCAACAGTCTCCATCCAGTCTGACAGAGCTTGAGCAATTTTGCCAGGAAGAATGGTAAAAATATCGGTATCCATGTGAACAAAGCTGATAAAGACAAATCCCTGATTATTTGCATCTGTAATTGCAACCAGGCGTCACAGCAAAAACAAGTTGCATCTCCAAATGTTAGATATAGTTTGTAAATCAAATGGTAAAAATCCCAATTAAGCCAAAATCTAGACTGTAACAGTACAAAACATAGAAAAGTTTAAGGGGGTGAATACTTATGCAAGGCACTGTATATTAGTATTAGTATGCTAAATGTATTGATTCTATGCTTACAAATGTGAGAAAAACGTGCAGATCTTTCCTTGAACTGCATCCTTAATGGAGAAATTATGTTCATTTCAAATATTTAAGTATTAAGCCACACATTCTTTTGAGATATTGTGTTTCAGCTCTTCGTGCTCTCAAATAAATCAAGCTGGAATCAGAATATAATAACACAATGTCATCACCATGGAGCCATATCGGAGCCTGATCAGCACCTTATATGAATCATTGTTTAGGTGGGATTTGGAAGTGAGTAAAAGCTGAATTACGATATACCTTCTGTAAATGCTCCATATGCTACCTTTTTACAAGTGGGCTGTGAGTAAGACGCTCAGTAGTAGAGGGACACGTAACAGGTCCTTTGGGGGCTGGCAGAGTATATTAGAGAACATTCAAGAGGAAGCTATGATGAATCAAGGCCATTTTTAGAAATGGTACCATTTTATTAATGTCATAACGCTCAAAGTAGATGTCATATTCCTCTAATGAATAAATCAATTATTCATTCTTTTTTTCATTTATTCCCATCAGACTGTTATGCTTTGATGAGATTCAGGGTGCTATTTCCTGGCTCATATCAAGGTCAGTACCTTTTCCTACCTGTTCCTTTGAAATGTAATTATTAAAAAGAGGTATTTGGTTTATACATACCCTTTCCTCTTGTTTAAGGAAAAAAAAACAATACTTTCTATGAATTAACAAGTGATTATTTGACACACCTCACTACCTGTTGTACATGTTGGTTGTGAACACTCCAGGTTTTTTCTTTGTATTTGTGATTCGTTTATTTTCCATACCGCTTATCCTACACAGGGTCGCCTGGAGCCTATCCCAGGGAACTCAGAGCATGAGGGCAACCCATTGCAGGGCGCAAATGCATACACATTCACACACTATAAACAATTTGGAAATCAGCCTACAATGCATATCTGGGCAAGGAAACCAAATACCTGGAGGAAACCCTGAAGCATGGGGAGAACATGCAGGCTCTGATGTGGGATTTGAACCCCCAACCCTGAAGGTGCGAAGCAAACGTTCTAACCACTAAGCCACCGTGCATGTAGGATTTATTGATCACCTAATACGGACTGGATGAACATTTATTATTTTTAGATTGCAGTTTGCATAACGCATTTGAATTTTGAGCAGTTGAATTTCTCATCTACATTCCTGACAGGATTGCAGACAGCAGGGTGCAAAACGTATTTCTAAGAGATGATAAACAGTATTGAGTTGTGACAGCAATAAGTGGGTACAAGCCAGTACTGTAGCGATCATTATCCTGTATCCAGACTGTGGAAGGATTTTCTACATAATATATAGAAGCCATTCTTCCAGATTAAAGGTGATTGCACTCTCTCACCAATGGGACAGTCTTTATCTTAACCGTCCGTATTTCATTGTTTGGTCTTTGATATTGCGGCAGCTTTTTATATACCTTCCACTGGATGTCATGATCATTAGGGATTGCCACATCGATGTTTTTAAACACCACTGTGGTTCTCTGATATGATCTTTTATTACTACATCTGGTAGGTTCACTATTAGTTCAGCTGTGTCTGGAAGTCCCAATGGATATTAGCTTTGGTGTTTTCTATCATTCTCTGGGCTTCTTAGCATCTTGAATGAGCACTACTATCACCGAAGAACAGGAATCTGAGGATAGTGTGGGCACAAGGTAACCTAAATTGGACAGTTGTATATTGGAAAAAAGACCATGTGATGTTTGTTCCAATCTAATTATTACAAGCATATTCTAGATTAACATCTGACATCTCTGTGATATACTGTCACTATTTGAGCTTATGTGGAAACATACAGTATGTGAATGTTTATGAGGGTAATTGGCCATTGTAAAATGTGAACTACTTATATCATTGCTAGTCAAATAAGTTTGCTAGTTGCAGTAACATTAGTTGATGTACTCTGTGTTAGGTTACATGTGGGGTACAGTAATTTGTGAGGAGTAGCATGAGAAAAAAAGGAGGACAAGCACATGGACACAGACAGAGAGATCAGTAAAATCAGTTCAATAGAATTTAACAGTCTAACTTGAGCCAAAGCAGCACAACTCTCTTCTACTACGTGGAAAATGGACCATGTCAGACCAGATGATAATTTGGTGGTGCGCCATTCTCAGCACAGCATTTTCAAGAATTAACAATAAACTTTAGTTTTGATTTCTGTATAGTAAGATTCCTGATACCTGCCTAGATAAGAATAATCTGTGAAAAGTGCTGTACGGTACTTACAGGGCAATGTGATGGCATTTGTGAGAAACCTTGGTGTCATGATTCCCCCGTGAAGCAACGTGCTCTAAGCGCTAATGCGCGAGCACCTGCTTCTTCACTGTTGACCGCAGTGACATTTGGACATGTGTCTTTGTTATTGTTGACGTCATGCCTCCTCCCCATCCTGTCATTTGTTGTCAAGTCACGTGTGTTTGGATTACCCGCAGCTGTTAGCAGTTGCTTGGGTAATCATGCCGGTATATATAACGTGAGCCATGCTACACTCGAATCGGAATATTAACGTAGAGTAAGATTAGATGAGTTTAATGCGTTAGTCGTAGTTGTAGTCACAGTTCTTAGTTTCATGTTTTCAGGTCATAGTCATAGTTCATGTCTAGTTCATGTCATAGTTCATGGTTAGGTTAGTTAATTTAGTTTACTGGTTCTCTCCTACCAGTCCCTCGCTGTGTTTCTTGTTTCTGGTTTTATTTCTTGACCTTGCTTGCCGATCACTGAACCTCATGCCTGTTTATGGATTACGTGTTGGATTACGATTTGGATTTACCTGCCTGTGTGTCTCTAAATAAAACTCTCGTTCTAACTGCGATTGCATCCGTCCTAACTTCAGTTACATCACGATCCATGACACTTGGCAGCTAATCAATCCTGGCTATGAAATTAGTATGCTAGCTATCCCTCCCTGTTGCTAGAAACCACTATTTTTACAATTCTATATGTACCACGTCATCTTTACCAATTAGGAAACGTTCAAGCTGAGTTATGCTCACCATGGCAACACATCCTGTCCCACTGCGTAGCAAGGTTTATCACCAGGCTCTAAAATTAGAAATTACTCTCAGTCTCACACACGACACACACATATGCACACTTTCAGTGTGTATTTTGCTCTTGCTCTCTGCTTCAGTTCAGTGCTCTGTCTTGCCTCAAGTGTACGGACAAAGGGTTCTTAAACGAGGCAAGACTGTGAATGCAGCTGTAAACCTTTACAATAGAAAAAAAATACAGAAACTTGTTTGAGAATCCAAAATAGTCTCAAAGTACTTGTACAAATAACTGAAACGAAACTGATAAACGTAATAAAATCGCCCATAATTCAGCAACTTTAGTGTTCCAAGCATGAACCTGCACAGCTTCTGTAGCAGACTGTCTGTTGCATCTTATCCAATCACATGCATTTATCTAAATTATATAGCTGAATTAAGCAATGTTCACATTAACTAAATCTTCTCTATAACTAACAATATGCGAATGATTAAAATATGACTGATACTATTATTTATCTTTGTCAACAACAACAGAAAAGCTAAGACTAAAACGAAATCCAAATTAGCTATCAACATTGATTAGCTATCAACATACAAAGTAAACTTTGTAGATTAAATCTGTACTTTATAGACAGATGTAGAATGTATGAATAGGTAAATGAATCACAAAAGTCACTTAAGAAAACGTGTGTACACTTTAAGAAAGTGGCTGAATTTGTGATCCACCAGATCCGTATTGAATTCATTTGTGATTCATTTGTGATTACTTTTGTCAGGAAATCAACTGCATCGAATCTGGACTGCTTTTTGTTTTCAAATTGTGACTCCAATTGTAAATTACAGGATCGTCATCTACTCTTATCCAGCTACTATTAGTGACATTACATTATATTTTCAGCATCATGTATTGCAGAAGAATCCCAGCTTGGGACTGATTGCCCTCTCTCTGACTTAAGGCTGCTGTAGATTGGATGGTTCAGCTGACACAAAGTGCTCACGTTTTTGACCTTTCCTCCATGGCAAACATTCAGTTTTGTCATTAGGCTGTTCAGATGAAATGCTATCGACCACTAGGAAAGCTGAAAGTGCTTTGTGAAGTCCCCGGCTTGGTAAACATCACCCAATTACGTCTGTGCGTTAATCTCCATCAGACAGGAGCCTGATCCGAGCTGACTCTAATGAAGTCAGGGCAAACTGAGCTGAACACCGAAGGTGTCACTTTTGTTGTGTTTTCTGAGGGAAAGTCATGTGTTAAACACTGCCGATCAGAGTTAGCTGAATCTGGTTTGTAAATCTGTCCGTTGTTTGTGTCATATCTGTTGTTGATTTTGTAATTATAGATTAAATGTCAAGAGAGGAATCATAAGGTCAGTTGCTGCTTTTCTTTTTTCCTGTGGGTTTTTGTGTGACTCTCAGTATGTCCTCAAGTGTCCAAAATGCACTGTATTTGTTACACTCTCAAGTGCATGGATAAATCCATGTACAAACTATTGATGTAAACAAATAGCAATATCTTTTGGAAGGAACTGATAATACTCACAGTAGATACAAATGCAGGTACCAATAGTGAGTGCTTCCTGGTGCATACTGTTAGAGTGCATATTCATTTTTAAAAACAAGCCACACCCACGTCAGATTAAAATCCACATACAGATACAGATACATATATCTGGAGCACTAAACAGATACAGATAGTGTCATTGCAATATATTAACATCTAAGTCACCACTACTAACTAGTAATAAATTGTAGGTAATTTATCAGTAAGTAATAATAACGTAATGGTTTGTTTGTTTATTATGAACTAAGCAATAATTCTTAATAATATCTCCTGGAGAACTAGCTAACTAGTCATTAGTAATAAATGATCATATGTTTCATTTTTTCCCCCAGTACTGTTCCAGATCATCATTAACTCCTCTAGGAACAACAATAACACTTCAGTCAATATATTACATATAAAATTACTTACTAATTCAGTAATAGTGTTGCCGTGTCCTTTCATAGGAGTTAATGACCAGTTAGTAGTTCTCCATGTGATATATAAGTCTCAGTAATTATTGCTTACTTCTTAATGAAATACAAAGCCTTTACTTTATTAGCACTTACTGAGTAATTACCCAGTATTTCTGTTTTTTCTTGCTTAGTCCCTGCATAATTACTTGTGAGATGTTGAAGAGTATTATAAAGTGTTAGACATTAATCTTAGACCGTGGACATGCTCTCCCAGAGGAAAGCTTGGACGTTGCACAACAGCTGTAACATTGCACTTTCCACACTGTGAAGCTGTCCTCTGCTAGCAAACAATAACGCCAACAGCCAGTCGTGACTTCCTCTGAGGCCATTTCATTCGGTGCTGGATTATACTGGCCAAGTTCAAGCACTCTGTGAGCATGTGAAGCAATTTCCTGCTAAGCACAAACAGCAGGAGGTCTATGGTCCGCAAGTTGTCATTCATAACATTCTGGAGGGCTGTTTACATTTTCTTATCATTCAAGTCTATGTTTAATGATCCTTCTGAGGTAGTGAAAGTATAAAACAAGACACTCTCACTCAATGTAATTTCCATCTGTAATCACATGACCAGCCTCATGCTGACATGCACTATAGAATTACATGACAGATCAAAGCTAACAGCAGGTAGTCTTTAGAAAAGGTAAATACCTTTTGGAAAACATTTATGTACAGTAATTGCAGAATATTGTTCTATTGAAAGCATTATGAGACGAATGAAAGTAAGAACCAGCAGTTGGTCAGATTATGAATCACAGTTAAAAAGACCAAAGTAGTTCAGGGCAGTTAGTGAGAGTGAGTATTTGGCAAAGCAGCAAAAATATCTGCATCTTTTTAAACTAAGACTGACTCCACACGAAGTACTAACTTCAAAACACCATCAAAAATCTGCCCTGTTTAAAATGAATAAAAACTACCAAGGTCTTATGGAAAATAGCTGTATTTAAATAGGACAAAGGCTTCCGATTGGCTAGATATCACACATGTTGGTCTTGTCCAATGAAAATGTGTGCTACAATTGAGAAGATG